TTCCTTTCTTGTAGCCCAAAGAAAATGAACGGTGCGCTGTCCATTTGAGTTCTTCATTGGCACCCAACAGGTACTAGAGGCCCTACAACCTTTGCCCCAGAGCGCGTGATACACATAGCATGCTCTGAAGTACCTGAAAAGGCTTTGAAGGCCACAGCACTCCATAAGCCTCCTAAGAGATGAACAATTATAACAGAAATCGCTGTTGATCTACTCTGCAGAACTTGGGCAGTGCATAATAACAACTCCAGCCTGACTTCAGAAACTTGTCTGTATTGCCTATGGGCTCGGCCCAGGAGCCTGTCCAGCCCACTCATCGAATGGATGCTCAGAGCCACTCTCAGACACCCCGTCCCGGGGAAGCGTATTGTCCTGTGATCAGGATTGTACTATAGTGAGCATGCTGCTGGATTTCTGGGATTTGATGTATGTGGTATAGGAGCGAGTAAGCGGGCCGGGTGTGCTTCTGGATAGCACCCTTTAGCTCATCACAGAGGCAGGAGTGACTTGTCTTTGCTGTCAGACTGCAGACAACACAAAGGTATCGCATGAGCTAGAGTCTGGCCTGGGGGTTGCATGTTTGACGCCCCTGCCTTAAAAGACAACTGAGTGGTGCTTATTTAAATTAAAGCAGCTGTTGTTTGATCACATCAAATGTCAAAAGGCAATGATGCTACATAGGAACTGGGGGGGAAGGTTCTTGCATCCTCGCTAGACCCAAGCCTAAACTGCAATTTGGCTTCAACCAGAAATAGGAAAGCTCTTCCCTACAGCTCGAGTGAAGGGAAGAAGTTTGCATTGCTGAAAGCTGGCACTGCAATGACAGAGCGTGTAGCACTCGCAGGTTTTCTGCCTAGCGTGGACACGATAACTCCATCTGGTTAACCAGTCAGACCACTCAGGGTTTCCCAGAAACCCTGGAACACCTGGATTCATTCTGTTGCCAGCTGGAAACCCAGACTAGGTTTGTTGCCAGCTTTGCCAACCTGTGCCTAAGGTTTGACCCTGGAACGGTTCAGATTTGATGGTAGGTTTGCTTTGGGGCTCACTGAAGTGCAAGACTCATCGCAGAATTCCTCAGGGGCAAATAATCCACATGAGACTTGCAACTACCAGTGCCCAGACACATCCTCATTTGAGCCCCATTTTGTTAGCAGTGGAGGCAGGACCATCTGGTTTGACAAAGGAGAGACTAGATGCAACAGACATTATTCAAAAACTTTGTCTCCCTGCTGACATGCTAAAAACAGCCCAGCACAATAGTGAGTCTTCAACACGCTCACGCATCTTTAGGGGGAAAAATAAATTCCAAATGTGTATTTCATAATTACACAGCGGCCCCTTTATTACACTGAACTCCCTGGTTCTCCCCAGGTTATTCATTTAAGTTGCAAATACATAGGGGCCAAAGCATCAGCTGGTGTAAATTAAAGTAAAGTGACCTATGCTTATTTACCAGCAAGGCCCTCGGTGTAGCTTTATGGACTTGAAAGCCTGTCAAAGTCCTTTCAAGTCAATAAAGGTGTAGGTGTTACAAAGGAAAACAACAGCCCTACTCGCAGCTGAACTCGTGTGTTCTGCGCTGGCATGGTTAAGTAGAGCGAGCACCTTGCAGGTTTCTATATCAAAGCCAATATGCAGAACGTTTTTGGCCACTGGCCACAGAAACTGGAGATGAGTTCTGTGAACAGCAGCACAGTCTGTTGATGAATCAATCCCCAAAGTTATCTTAGCCTCGCAGAAAGTACTTCGTGAGCTCGTTAGTTAAAAAAAAAATGCAAACAAGCAGGAAGATTTGCTAGCTTCCAGTTCTTCACCATATACCCAGCATATAACTTCACAAAAGCACCCACCCCTCACTAAATGGCAAAGACTGAGGTTCTACCTGTTCTGGGTTTTAAATGGATTAAAAGTATTTTAAAGCAGAAGTGAAGTGTTTACATGTTTGCATCAGAAACATTTGCACATGAACCAGACAGACAGACACAGGCCTCCTGACTCTTTGAACAATGACTTTACTAGATCACACTGTAATGCCTTCTCATAATAATGATTACTAGGTAAGGATTTTTAATGACCTAATTTCCAGCCTGAATTGGTTTTTCCCCCTTTTTTCAAATAATAAAGAGCTGCAACAAAATAGTAAGTAAAGAAGTATATAATGGGGAAAATGCTATGCTATGAATTATGTAAATATGGTGCCATTTCCTGTTGAACGCTGGGAAACCCTGTTCAAGAACACACATCAGAAAAAAACGTAAAGGAAGAAGAGGTTCCAGGAAACGTAACAATAGTGGGGAGACTGAAACGGCTCCGGTCCATTTGAAAAGTATGCTTACGTTTGTGCTTAATATCGTTCTTATTCCAAAACGCACCATGTGAACTTGGTTGGAGCGAGACACTTTCCGAGTTAAGCTGCAGCCAGTGCCGCCCTGAATAGGACCATTCTCTGGGACAAAGGTCCCTCCTCATCCATTCGTGAATGGAAATCGTACCACCTGGCATGCGTGACCCGCAGCAGCTACCCAACACCAAGCACTGGATGTCCAAAGAGAAAGGTGCACGCTGCATCCATAAGCATGTAGCAGGGGACAAGGACACTCTCGAGTAAATTCAACCACGACACACATGGGGAAAACTGCGATCCACTCAGATGTTCCCAGAAGCACGGGAAATGCCTTGATTCCTCCAGCAAATGACGCAGGGTAA